AAGTCAGGATATTTTTACACGGCAAAAGTTATTTATAGTATATCCAGTATATATACAATTGTATTTTCTCTATATAACATTTTATGCTATATATACATATATAGTATATATTTTTCTTGCTGAAAACTCTAGTGTAATAGTTGTTAACTTACTGCCCTCGATGTGGGGAAGATGGGGCGGTGAGCTATACAGCATGATGGGGAAGGACACGGTTTGTGCTGGACCGAGTGGGAGCAGGGATGGGAGGAATTGCAGTTCCAGTTCCTTCCGTAGGCAGCACCTGATAACCAGAGAAGAGCAAACAACAGGTGGTATCTAGGAGAACAGCTGGCACCAGGATGCCCAGCCCCAGGAAATGGGGGAAAGAACTGATTACACACCAGGTAGAACAGTCAGGAACACAGAATACAGAAGAGCTAGGACACATAGCATGGCCAGTCTGGATTCTAGGACTGGGGTGAATCCTGACAACAGACAGAGAAAACCTGCAGTCTCGGCAGGCTGATGGTGCAGGATTTGAATACAACAGGGCTAAGGTTAGAGATGTAGTCTAACAGGCCGAGTGCTTGGTTGGCATGCAGGCAGCTCTGGGTTATAGTCCCAGCACTGCAGAAACCTGGTGATGTGGCACAAGCCTGTACTCCCAGTTCTCAGGTGGGAGCAGGAGGTCAGAAGTTCAAGGTCATCTTCTGCGAGTGACTTCCAGGCCAGCTTGAAATATACGAGACCTTGTCTAAAAACTAAATAAATGGCTCAGAAGGTAGAGGCACCTATTGCCAAGTTTGACAGCCTGGGCTCAATGCCTGAAACCTACATAGTAGGAGCGGACCAATTTTGGAAGTTTCTTCTTGCAAGCTATGCCAGGCATGTACCAGACCCAAGAACAACAAGTAAACAAACAAACATACATACACACATACATACATAAAAGGGCTGTGGGTCAGTTCTTAGACAAGGACCAGGGTCAGGGCTCCCCACATAATCAGGGAAGAGAGATACTCCACAGAAGTTCTGTGATTCCCTTTGCCTTTGGTTCTAAGGTGGGGAGGAATAGAGACCACCAACTACGTGGGACCAAGTGGTGTTATTCTACAACAGACAGCTCAGGAAACGCCTTTCAGTCATAGAAAACAAGTGCTTCGAAGTAAAGCAAAATTAACATGGAGAAAAGGAAGAAAAAAAAAGGTTAGAAGGAAAAATAGAGAAATAAAATACTGTATGTAAACCAAGATAGATTATCATTAATAAAATGATATGGTAGTGTCCAGGCTGAAAATTGCATATGTTCCCTCTACTTCCCAGGATATAACACGTTTATCCATTTAATACTGGGTTTGTAACAAACTTAAGTGTCACCTACCAAGGGCATCCCTCCACTAGTCTTTACTGAGCTCTTATCTCCATACCCACAATGACTTACGGCTGCCTTTTGCCTCGTAAAATCTTTACAACAGGAAAATAACTTTGGACGGATTAACTTGGATTAATCTATTGAACTTGGATCCCTGAAGGCAGAAGTCCCTATTTCACTAAGGATGATGTAATCCACAGTTTCCCTGGCCAATCCTCACCTTTTTCCTGTAGTCATGCTACTTCCTAACACTGATAGGGTCTTCGTGTTAAGTTTCAGAAGTGCCCGGAGGAAATCCATGCTTATCTATCTCAGTCATTTAACACCAGGCACAGCATTTAAGAAACACGGAGTACTGCACACCAGGCACTGAGATCTGAGGGGAGGGGAGAACACATCTACACATCTTTCTTCTCTTGGAGTTTACACCCTACAGGGCTGAGGGGCTCAGGCCATAAGCTAAGTAATTGCAGATAATAAAAAGTAATATAAAGAAAACAAAATCTGGGGTATTAATATAAGATAGGCAATTAGAAAAAGTGTTCTGAAGCCAGATGTGGTGGTTCCCGTCTTTAATTCCAGCATTTGGGAAGCAGAGGCAGTTGGATCTCTGGAGTTCAAGGCCAGCTTGGTCTACAGAGCAAGTTCCAGGACAGCCAGGGCTATTTATTGTACACAAAAACCTGGTCTCAAAAAAACAAAACAAAACGTGTGGTGGAGGAGCCATGACCTATCGGGAGGAAATGCTTCCTGATTCGCTCAGGCAACAAGTGCCACTCTCAGGACCGATGATAAAACTAACTGCCCAGAGGAAAAGGACTACTTCTAGTCCCTTCTATTAACCTACTTAAAGGGATTCTACTGCATTACAGAATGTTAAATTGGACCTTGAAGTGTTGCCTTTGACTTTGGGGGCCAGACTGTACGTGTCCAGATGTCTCTTTGGGCTCTTGGCTCTCTGTTCATTTAGTGGGCAGGCAAACCGGAGAAACAGGCTGGCATGCTTATACATGCCAAGAGCCAAAAGGCAAACCATGTCCTGGCTCAGCTCACTTGTCTGTAGGCAGGTGACGGGCTGTGATATGCTACCGATTTAAGCCTGCGTACTAGGTGAGTTGATTTAAGAAGAGCATGAGAATAATAAGTTACAGTCCCAAGTATCTGAAAGGGATCTTTTTGTAGAGAAGCAAAGATATGAATTAAAATCTGTTGTTTCCATTTTGCTATTATTTCAGCAGCATGTAACTCAAGTCAGGCAAAACCAATTTCTGTACTTCAGATTTGATATCCTAAAGCTTCAACTGCCTTCTTTATAGCCTGATTTCTAGCCCCCAAATCAAATTAGGCTGCAGAGGTCATACTAGGTCCACTTGCCATGGGTTTCTCTGTCACAGAACAGACAGGCATACGACTTTTGGCCAATGAGTCTGCAACAGAAGGTTCACTCTTTTCGTTGAAACTAAAGAGGGGTAGTATGTAGAAAAACCAAGAAAGGAAAGTAACAATCTTTGCTGACTGTAAGAAACCTCTGCTATCACAATACAATACAGCGAGAAGACCGCAATGACTCAAAGCCGAGACAGCCTAAGAGTTCAAAAGATGAGAGAACATAACTGAAATGTAATTGAGTATCACGGAGCTCTGACGGTTCTGGAGGTGAAAGTAGATAAAGGAGACCCCCCCCCCCCCCCCCAGTTTAAACTAGAATATAAGGGAATTTAAATATTTTCAGTTGAATGAGGGAATATTTTGGAGTCCAAGTTTTTTTTCATTCATCATAGCAGAATGTGTGTAAATACACAGGTATCAGTGCCCCAGTACATTCTCTTCTTTCTTCTATTTTGTTGTTGAGACAGGGTTTCTCTGTAGCTTTGGAGCCTGTCCTGCTCTTGTAGACCAGGCTGGCCTCGAACTCACAACTCAGAGAGATCCATCTGCCTCTGCCTCCAGAGTTCTGGGATTAAAGGCGTGCACTGCCACCACCCGACGCTCTCTCTTCCATTTTAAACGATTTTCCAAGAGATTTAAAATACTTTCAGAAAAATGAATTAACCAAACACTATATTTGTTGAAATACTATATTTGTTGAAATACTTACCGAAGAAATTCGGTATTTAATGGCTGGTTTAAAAGAAATCTTTTCTTCTTCATAAACAGGTTACTAATACCTTTTATTTTCATTTTTTGTTGTTGTTGTTTGAGACGGGGTTTCTCTGTGTCTAGCTGTCCTGGAACTAGCTCTTGTACTTTCAATGGCATTTTGTACGAAGAATGGGAGGCAAAGGAAAAAAAAGAGGTAGTGACAGCGATTTGCATTTTCTAAAAGGAGGGAATGGGACTCGGGAGGGTAAACGAGGTCACCCCGCTGAGCCAAAGGTGGATTGAGAATCTTATTTATAGTCCGCTGACTTCAGTTCTGCTGGCTCCCGCCGCTCCTTATCTTAGGGCCGAGGAATTCACTTGCCCGCAGATCACAGCCACCCCAGCGCCCGGGGGCCGAAACGTGGCTTTCGCTAGTGCCCCCCAAGAACGCGTGCACCTCCGTGTCCCACCCCGCGGGCTAGATCCAGGACCCGGGAGCGGGGTATGGGGTGGGTGGGTGAGTAAGAAAGGCGGTGCGGCTACATTTTTCTTTTCGATCACAATCCGAACGGGCAACCGATCCCGCACCACGGGAACTCGGTGCCTTCGGAGCAACCCCGCCGCTCCTCACGTGCAGCCCGAGCTTCGGCTCGAGAAGGGGTGTGCCCGCATGGTCTACTCCACGCAGTCCTGTGCCAGCGGCCCCTCCGTCACGCGGGTGGTGGCGGCGACGTGCGCGGAAGGCTGGCCCCCCTTCTCGCGGCAACCTGGCGCCCCCGTGCCGGCCGCCGGCCCTCCTTCCCGGCAGAGGGGCGCCGTGCTCCACGGGCCCTTCGGGCACTTCCGCCGAACTCTCGGCCCCGTTCGTGTCCGGGGCGGGGCCGGCGCCCCGGGACGGGTGCGCGCAGAGCTGGCGGGTCCTTCCCAGTGCGCGCGCGCGCCGGCGCTGCTCACCCGGGCCGCCCCTCCCCCCACGCGCCGCCCCTCCCCCCGCTCCGCGAGCTCGCGTCCTCCGCGGCTGAGGCGGCAGAGATTGGAATCTGCTTGCCGGCCGTGCGGAGGAGGAGGAGGAGGAGGGCGGAGGGAGGGAGGGCGGTTCGAGCTCCCGCGCGAGACGAGGACCGCACGGCCGCGCGAGGGGCGACAGGGCCCGGGCCGCTGCGCGCCGAGGGCGGAGGCCGAGCCGGGCCCCGGCGCCCCGCGCCTGTCCGTGCCCGCCTGCGCCGAGCGCTGGAGGATGAGTTTCTCTGGATCCCGGTGAGTTGGCGGGTCGCGGAGTGCGGGTGCGCCGCGGGAGACTGGCGAAGTTTGGGGCGACGGTGGCCGCGCGGGGGAAGCCGCGACGCGCCTCGGCGGGGCCTGCGGGAGACCCCGGCCCCGCGGCCCTGCCCGCCCGCGCTCGCCTTTTGTTCGCATTCCCACCCCTCGGAAGACGCTTCTGGAGTCCTTAAATGGGAACGGAGCTCTGCTCCCGCTCCGGAGCTGCGCGCCTGAGTCTGGGGCTGGGTCTCGGGATTCTTGCCTGGGGTGGGGGGGGGGGGGGGAGGGAAGAGAGAGAAGGAAGCGTGTTCGGTGCGGGGATGGAGGCCGGACTAAGTGCTCGGCCCGCCCTCCAACTTGGCTGCGGGAGGGCGCCGGGTTTCTCCCTCTGTCCTTGCGAGTTGGTTCACCTGTTGTTCTGCGCGGCCTCCGCTGCCATGTCTGTTGTGATTCTGCACTTGGATTTCGGAAAACTTTGTGCCGGATTGCGTGGACATCCCCCACCCCTTCCAGACTCCTAGCGGAAAGATTTGGAAAAAAAAAAAAGAAAAGAAAAAAGGAAGAAAAAGAGAAACGCGTCAGGGGAGAAGAATAATATTCTGTGTGTTAGTGCCTGCCGGTTTGTTACGTGTAAGAGTCCGTCGTGGTGTCGTCGATCTTTTTCATCTGGTTAAAGGGCTGCCAGTTTTCTCTTTTAAACGGTTTACAAACTGTTCTGAGGACACGATACGCGCTCGTGTCACGTCATTTACTTCTTGAGATAACCCTGGTTATTGTATTCTATGTTGCTTTAGAGGAGGAAACCGAGACGCAGAGGTTAAATAACTTAGAAAAGTGAGCTGGAATTGCACGCAGGGACGTCGTATTCAAGAGTATGACCCCCTTACAAAAGCAAATTGTGTAAACTCAGGAGCGTCTTCCAGTTCTGCATGAAATTCTGTGTTGCCTGAGTCGTAAATGACTTGTGTGTTTGCTCGTGAGGGGGAATTAAAGTTGGGGATAAAGTAAAATGTAATTTAATGTTTATTATTCTCAGTTGAACAAAAGGGATGTCGAACCAAAATTAGCTTTTTACGGTCAAAACTAAAATATTAACAGTTCTGTAGGAATTCTTATGGAAGGCAGATTAAAACGTGGAATGCATTTTTCATTGAAGCGATACTTTTGCTTTATGTGCCCCTTCTAACAGTCTCAGTGGTGCCCTTTCGGGCCTTTTTTAACTGCCCTCAGGTCTCGCTACCCGTTAAGAGGGCAGCATCCGGTGGGTGCGCTTTGCTTTGGATGCCTTCTAGAGGATCCCAAACCACTTCACTAATGAACACCACCTATTGGAGCGTGAGCTCTGTAATCTTGTTGTTGTTATTGTTGGTTTTGTAATCAGAGTTTCACTACGTCGTTCAGGTTGGCCTCGAACTGGCAGTGTAGACAAGGCTGGAATTTTGGGGTTTTTAAAAGTACACGTGTACTTAGGATCCTTCAGTTTACAAAAACTTTTCTATAGTTTCGCTATTCTCTCACGCCGTGTTGTGTTTTTTTCCCAAATTGTTAACATTTTGACGTTTTTTTTTCTTATAAAAGTAATACCTGGTTGTTAAGGAAAAATTGCAAAATAGAGCAAAGTTGAAGTAAAATTAAAGTACAGTTACCCATAATCCTTTCTGGAGAGACTGCCAGGAGTAGACTTAGTTTTCCTCCCTGGACATTGGTGACCATCCATCGACTTAACTCCTTATTGACAGGATTTCATATTCAAGAAGGAACTGTATAGCCAAATGAGATGGAAACTGTTCTGGGACCCGAAGTGTCTGCTAGGGAGGAACTCAGACCAAGCTACATCCCCAGCTGGGCTGACATCCCACAGAAGTGTCCTTGTAGTTCCCTCCTCTGTGTGTTTCCTCAGAGGAGTATGTACTGAGGCTGGGGGGCAACCACACGGGCTTCCTATACTCGTGGAGCTTAAAGTCTAGTGGGGGAGACGTGTGGAAGGAAAAGTTCTATGTAATTAAGTGTAATTGTGATGATAATTCAAGTGTAGGGTATTATAAAAGCTTAAAGTGGAGACCTGACCTGGTGCTGGAGTTGCTGAGAGAATCTAGGAAGACCTCTCTAAAAATATTATTTTGCATCCTGACACAATTATGAAGGGAGAAAGAATTAGGTGAAAAGGGGGCCTCTGACGTGGTGGTTTTATTCTCTTTTTGCCTTCTTTCTACCTCTATTCTTCTCTTTTTTCCTAATTATTCTAAATGGTTTCCAGGTTTCACTTTTAACATCACTTTAAAAAAATGGTTCCTAGGAATTATTACGTTTATTCTGTGTATGCTGCCTTGGCACACCAGTGGAGGCCAGAGGGCACCTTGTGGGAGTGAGTCTTTGATTTCACCACATGTGTCCTGGGAGTTCAGGTCCTCCAGCTTGGATGGTGGCAAGCACCTTTACCTGATGAGCCTTCTGACTAGTTCTCCCATGAATTATTGTTCAGATTTTTCTGATTATTTCAAAAATTCTGATTTGCCTTCTGAGCTTGACGCCTTCTGGTTGCTTTATGTAAGAAACTATACCTGGTAGTCTAGTTCAGATGAGCTCTTCCTTAGTGGTTGGATTATGGTGCTACCTATCCTTGTTAATGCATCATGTCCTTCCTGAGTCTAGTCTGTAGCCAACATCTGTAGCTCCTTTCTTTCTTTCCTGATACCGTGACTCTTCTTTTTATTCCTGCCAACTCTAATACAAGTCTTAGTTTGTCCTGCTGTTGGGATTATAATGTTTAGAATGACTGGATAACTTTCCTTCTTGTTCTCTTTTCAGGAAAGAGCAGTTTGAATTGGGATTATTGCCCTTGAACGACTAGCATATATATAAAATCATTTATTTAGACCAAGATATTTTTTTCTGGAGAAGACTTTTCAATTTACTTAATAACTATTAGTTTGTGTAAAATTTCTATTTCTTGTGTGAATTTTAGAGTTTCATATTTTTTAAGATTTGTTTTTATTTTTAATTAGTCATATGCATGCATGTCTCTGGATGGGCTTGTATGTGCTTGTGAATGTGGGTGTACAGGAAGGTCAGAAGAGAGGGTGTTGGGTTCCTTGGATCTGCTGGAGTTTCAGGCAATTGTGAGCAACTCAGAGTCGATCCTGGGAAGCAAAACTTTGGCCCTTTGAAAGAACAGCAAGAGCTCTTACTTTCTGAGCCATCACTTTAGCCCTGGGTTTTGTATTTTATTTTTCCAGGAATTTATTTCTTGAGTTTTCTATAAACAGTTTGTTTTGAATACATTCATCCTCTAGACTCCCAGATTCATCCTTCACCTTCATCTCCCTATGCACCCAACTTTGCCTTTTCTTTTTTAAAATAATTTCTTTGTTGTTGTTTTTCGAGACAGAGTTTCTTTTGTATAGCTCTAGCAGTCTTAGAACTCGATCTGTAGACCAGGCTGTTCTTGAACTCAGATCTACCTGACTCTGTCTACCAAATGTTAGGATGTGTGCCACCACTGCCTAAAATTTTTTTTTTTTTTTAAAATAAACTCATCGTTCAATTTGTGTTGCTCAGCTACTCTTGAGTCAGGCCTGCCTTGAAGTATGGTCAGCCTACCAGGGACCATGCCATTGAATAAAATTGACTCCCCCTCTTAACAGCTATCCAATGTAGTAATTGGGATTGGGATTTCATGTCCACCCCTCACCCCCATGTTGGGATTTTGTCTGGTTTGTTTGAGTTTGTACAGGTCTTATGCATGCTGTCATAGCCTCTGTGAGTTTCTTTTTGCAAGTGCCCTGTTGTGTTCAGAAAAAACACCATTTCCTTGAAGTTGTTCACCACCTCAGTCTTCCCGGTCATCCCCTTTTACAAGATTCTTGAACCTTTCTTGGAGGGGTGTGATATGTTGGTTCCATTTAATGTTGAGCACTCCGGGTAGCACAAATTCTAGTTGGTCTTAATAATAAAAACCCAGAGTCAGATATATGGGTTAATGCTGAAGATCAGAGAAGCAGAGCAACCAGCCACTAGAGAGTTCTTTTACCTCTACCAGTGCTCAGACCAAAGGGGCAGTCCTGTCCCTCAGACTACATCTCCAGACTCCATCTATCTCCACCAAATCTCAGACTGCACTGAGCTTCTGTTTCCACCCGCCATATCACTCCTGTCTCCACCTCCCAAGTGCTGTGAGCACCTTTGTGTGAGCGTTCTCTTTTAAACAGATTCAATCTTGTGTAGCCCAGGGTGGCCTTGAATAGAGATCCCTCTGCCTCATTCTTCTTAGGCCTGGGATTAAAGGTCTGTGCCACCACTCCCTGGCCTCCAATGATTCAGCTCCAGTCTTTTACTCTCCTCTGCACATTCACCAATTGTGGGGCTCTGTGTTAATTCCCATCTATTGTAAGAAGCTTCTCTGATGAGGACTGAGAGAGGGACGGATCTGTGGGTAGAGCAATAAGTCATTAGTAGATATTTTAACACTAGGTCTATTTAGCAAAATATTGATAGTAAGTTCTCCACTAGGGTCCTCAGTTTCTTGGCCCTGTTAACAGTGGTAGGCATGGATTCCATGTCACGACGGAATAGAATGTTTATTTGGAGTTTATTTGGTTTTCATGGTGTTCCCCCTTCCTCTTTAATTTCTACTATATTTGTCTCCTGTTTAGTTCAGGGTTGGTGGAATCCCATGGAAAAGAAGACTGTCCACTGTATTTTATTTATTTGTTTTTGTTAAGGGACAGAGTCTTGTATTGTTCAGGCTGGACCCAAATTCCTGGGATAAATCTTCTTGCAAGTAGCTGGGAATTCAGCTGCCTGTCATCATACCCAGTTTATATTTAGTTTTTTAAAGTAAATTATAAGACAGGTGTGGTGGTGCATCCTTGAGCCCAGCATTTTCGAGATGGAGACAGGGGAATCTGAAGCTCAGGACCAGCCTGTTAAACCAAAAACAGGCTAGACACGGTGGCGCACACCTTTAATCCCAGGTCTTGAGAGGCAGGCAGGTTTCAAAAATTTGAGGCCAACCTGGTTTACAGAGTAAGTTCCGGAACAGCCAAAGATACACAGAGAAACCCTCTCTTGAAAAACAAACATAAAACAAGTAAACATAAAAATGTCTTTGAATTTTTAAATTAAATTATTATTTTAATGTGTGCCAATCTTTTCACCCAGTATTTTATTTTTATTTTTTTCACGGCAGGGTTCTTTTTATACCTCAGGCTGGCCTTGAACTCACAGAGATATGCCTGCTTCTGCCTGTGGAGTGCTGGAATTAAAGACACATGCCACCAGAGTTCCAAGGTTCTTAAAAAAATAAAGTTGGGAGCCAGGCCGTGGTGGTGTACTCCTTTAATCCCAGCACTTGGAAGGCAGAGGCAGAAAGATTGCTGTGAGTTCCAGGACAGCTAGGGCTACACATTGAAACCCTGTCTTGGAAATGTTAAGGTAAATGAACAAATAAAGTTGAGTCTGTCTTTGAAATCACAGCACTCTGGAGGATCAGGTAGAAGAATTAAGAATTCGAGGTCAACTCCCCCCCCCCCCCCCCCAACAATGTGCCAAGAGATCTTAGAGATTTTTTTTTGTTGTTGTTGTTTTGTTTTTTTGGTTTTTTGAGACAGGGTTCCTCTGGTTTTGGAACC